CACAGAAATTAGCAAAAACGGCTATGTTTGAAGACCCCAACCTCCACAAGTCCTTATTTGATACACAAATACATATATGTACTTCCCTGCAAAGCCTGAATTCAAATGACATCCTACTTTGTTATTTCTAAAGCTTCAAACATAGTCGTATATGTCAATTTCTGTACATGTCCAAAATATGACCTACTTTTAGGGACAAGTGCACACCAACGACACAAGAACCCAACCTCCACAAGTATTCATTTAATAGACAAGACAAAATGTTACTTTGGGCAAAAGGCTTTATCAGATTGCTTTCTTTCTTTTCTAGATATTGTATCCTGAACATGGCTAAAAATCATATTTTCCCTCAAATTCAAAATTTGACCTACTTCTAAGGACAACCACGTGACAACCAAAGAAGTGCCCAAAGTTTGCAACCATGCATTTTATAGCACATATGTTTATGTATCTATGATTTAAATTTGAAGAAAAAAAATCACCATCTTTGGACTTACAGCACTTTAAAGTTGGGTAGAAATAACGCTTTTTCATAAGCCTCAAACACTGTATTGTGTTAGAGTTGCCCAGGTCCTTTAAACGAACTTCTTGAAAATTCCAAAGCTATTCTCGAATAGCGGATTAGTTGGTCTTTTATGCCCCGTACTTTGTGTTTCCATAATATTAGAGCACTTGCTCATAATCGTGCCTTAAACTATGCCAAATTTCATGTTTTTCACATGTCTAAATCAGGGAAAATGGCCCCGAAACTTGTTTGGCCCGTTACCATGGCAACGATCGGTGTTGACCGGAAAGAAAGCTATTTTGAGGGGTTGTGGGCCAAGTACTATCACTGTGCAAAGTTTGAGCCAAATCGATTTTTTGACCCCTGCCACCATTGTTTGATCCTTACAGAAACACTTTAGTCTATATTTACCATTTCAATTAGAGTTTGACAGGCAAGCAGGTGAGTGGGACAACTTTGCTACATGGTAATAATTACCAGACACGTACATGGAGACATGGGCATGAATATCAAGTCAAAATAAACTAAACTTTAACTAGACTAAGACTCAAGAATTATTTATTGATCAATGGCAGTAAACTTAATACAAGTTACTGAATTACGAATCAATGTACATTTCATTATTTAAAATCAAGAGTTTATAGTATTGCACATAATTAAGTTAAAATTCAGAGTCATTAGAAGGTTAAAAATACAAAGTCATTAGGAAGTTAAAATACAGTATCATTAGAAAGACTACATAGACCACAATAATTACACATATTACAACCACACCACAACAGTTAAAAATTACGAGCAGAAGAACGATTAAAAGATTAATAATATAAAATAAAATAAAAATTAAACTTACGCGGGATTACTACCTTACTACACGTAATGGCTATGTTTAATTACTAAAATTATATGCCCAGTTTTTCTTTTGGCTTGCTATCAAGTTGCTCCAATTACAAAAGTTCAAAATCCCAATAGTACAAGCAATGTCTGTTGTGCAAATACTGTTTCTGCTTCGTGCTTAAGTATTCATTAAACAAACTCTTATGCGCCAAATTTTACAGACAAAAGATCTAATGTGTCAATAACTTAGAGAACCTTTTAACACTGTTAACAGTGTCATGGTCCCATGCCAATTCAAATTTAATTGAAAGGTTACAAAAACGTAGCCTTTAACATTACTTATAAATGTTGCTATTATGTTAAACCAGATCCCAGAGAACATTTGTGATCAGAGCTATAACCATCTGGAATGCTCTCCATAGCGAAACTCGAACAACCCGCTCCATCAGCTCCTTTACAAACTATGGACAGTACTTGATAAATACTTGACGACAACTACTTAGTAAAACTGTACGAGTTCAATAGAATTGTATTGACAATGTAAATATAGTGCACAGCATCTGTTATGTAATAGTATATTAACCTGACATATAAATGTAATTGTAGTAAACGCACGACGACTAGGCCGGATATCCTAGCTTGTTAACGTTTGGCCGCAACATCTGTTATGTAGTAGTATGTCTATCTGAATTGTAACTGACACTGTTAACTGTTACATGTTCCGAACTGTTAATGTTCTTGTTGTGAGGGCTAGCCCTTTATAATAGCCTCCGGCTAGTTGGGCAGTCCTGGCTGCATACATATGTGTTATCAGCCTGATAAATCAAATCAAATCAATGCCTTTCGCAGACCCGGCATGGAGGTCAGTTGACGGTCTGCTGAAGGTCGTGTCTGTTGGGTCCAGGGGAGTCTGGGGAGTGAATCGCAATGACGACATCTTCTATCGTTCGGGAACCTATGAAAATTTAGCGTCCTCGGGCAGTGGTTGGGTGAAGATCGAGGGGAAACTGAAGCAGATCTCATCAGGACACTCCGTCTGGGGCGTCAACGCCAATGACGACATCTTCATTCGACAAGGTCAGAATTTAAAAATCCCTTAACCCTACCTAGTACCGGGCTTTTTTTTGACATGGGGGGACCGGGGGGGGCTCTTTCGACCCCCCCCCTAAGAACTCGCGAACGGTATGTCGTATGACCACCAAATTTTCAGAGAATGGTGTACTAGTAAAAATTTATCATATCTACAATTTTTATGTCGTTATGACGTAATATGACGTCATTATGACGTCATTAATGTGATTTTATTGGCCAAAACCGTCTAAATAGGTTTTTCCCTGAAAACTAAATGGTTTTCAACATAACTGTACCAAAAGTGTTTATGACAGAATATTATGGTGTACTCAGTCTTATGTTGCCCATAGCAACACCGGTGACGTCATAAAATGACGTCATGCATAATTAAGATATCCGCCATCTTGGATCATCAATCTTGAATTTTCAAAAATAGTTTTTTTTCGTGATAAAGCCTAAAATACATCGTAAACATACTAAAGACCTTCATTTAAACCTTTTTGGAAAAAGAAATGGAAGTATTGATGAAATTTTAATGAAAATAACCTGTATATACCTGTTCTAATGATATGGTCCGCCATCTTGGATTTTTACCAATGACGTCATCAAATTAGCATAAATTATGCATATTTAATGATAAAATTTACATAAAATTATATGGGATGTTATTAATATTAGAAACCATGAGTAACTTGACATAAAACCCATAAAATTCTATTGTTGAAACAAAAAGTACTAAATTTAGCAAAAAATGCCTGTCAGAAACCCGTTGCCATGGCAACACAAAAAATTATTATCTTATTCCAATGATAGAGAATTGTTGCCAACAATATTCTAGGAAAAGTCACCAAGTTTGGCCGTTCTACGGCTAGTCGTTCAGACGCTAGGTGACATCAAAGTTGCCGCGGGCACTTTTAGCCCCCCCCCGGTCTAGGTAGGGTTAAGAACAACAATGTCACGAGATATTCCATAGACATATTAGACGTTATTAGTACATGATTTTTGATGATACATTGATACTGCAGCCTCAGTAAAAATGCCCTTAGCAACACATTATGTTTTTTTTTATCTTCTTTCAACTTCAGCAAAATTTAGAGTAAAGGGTCTTTTAATTCCTTATTGACTTTTGAGTTGATCAAAATGTTTAATTTATACACATTGAAAAAAAGTAAAGAATAGATATTGGTAACAAAAACGCAAATCTCAACGCCCCAAATTAAAGCCAACAGACTACTTAAACGTTACACTTACGGATAAGACTCAAGCATTTTGGCATTTAGAATTCATTTGCGCTACAATGTTTCTGAATCAAACGTCTTATATGCATCTAATCTAATGATATGGTCCGTGATGTTGGATTTTGACCAATGACATCATGATATTAGCCTAAATTATTTATAGAATTTTATGAAATTACATAAGATGTTGGTAATGTACATAAAAATTTGAAAAGTTTCTTGTTTCAACCAAGATTACCTGATTTTGACAAAAAAATCCCTTGCAACACATAAGTCGGTGATTATGGAATTTATTGCCAGATGTATTTTTCGGAAAAACAATCTGTTAAATCTCTGGTAACCACACGGTCACACTACGACCGCCAAGTGCCCTGGTGGAAAATATTCTGGTTAAAGACACGAATACTTGACTAGCTATGCAATGTATTTTGGCATTTTCTTTTAGTATTCATTGTTTATTAAGTGTATTTGTCGAGTAATAAGCATTATGTTTGTAAGCAACTTGGCATCCATTCAGGGGTGACATCCACTAACCCTACGGGGAGCAACTGGCTCCATGTCGGAGGAAAGCTGAAGCAGCTGGACGTGAGTTCCACCGCTAACCAGCTCTGGGGCGTCAATTCAAACGACAACATCTTCCGACGGACAGGAATCAGTACGGAGCAACCAGCCGGTAAAGGCATTGCTTATTAGGTAGTTAGAAATATGAGAGTGTTATTGCTTAACTCTTTGTTTTAAAGGGTTTTTGTTGCAAGTATTTAAACTCCATTTTCAAGCTATCCTGTGTCCCTGAACGACCTAAAACATGCGCTAAAAACGAGATTTTAGACGTTCTACGTTCTCCTCTGCATACCTGACGAGATAATACTACAGTAGCACAAGTGG